AAACACACACAAAAAAAAAAAAAAAAAAATATATATATATATATATATATATATATATATATATATATATATATATATATATATATATATATATATATATATATATGTGTGTGTGTGTGTATGTTACCCTCACTTAGTAATATGATTTGTGATGTCTATGCTTCATAAATATGATAGATGATATGCTCATGTTTTTGACTTTTAAGATTGAAGTACATGCTTTCCAAAAATATCACTCAGTATTCTATGAAATGTTGGTTGAGCATATATAAGCATTAATATTTACGTTAAGCACGGCACAACAGGCCAAAGTGTGTTAATGGACTTGACTATGAGATTAAGTTATGATAATAAGCATGATGCTTTCCAAAAATATCATTCTCAGTGTTCTACAAAATGTTGATTGAGCATGCATAAGCATTAATGTTTACATTAAGCATAGCACAACAAACCAAAGTGTGCTAATGGACTTGACTATGAGGTTAAATTATGATAATATGCATGCATATAGTGATTAGAAATAGCAGGTAAATTTTAATCGGCCTTAAATAAATCTCAAGGCTTGAATGGGTTTGATCATGAGTAACATAAGAAGGTTTAAGTCTTAAACCTCATGTATATAGAAGATAATAATCTACTTAGGCACGGATGGATTAATAAAAAATTAAATGGAGATAGAAATAAAAAAGAAGTGTTATACTAAAAATGTTTAGAAACATAAGTGAGATTGAATGATATGTTTAGATAAAAAATATCAACTTTGTCAAATCAAATTAAACTCAATGAAAGTTGCTGCAACATTAGAATTATATTAATAAAAGAAGAAAAGAGAAGAAAGAAAAGAAAAACTTTAAATGAGGCCTAATAGGATTGAACCGTAAACCTCAAGGTAACCTCTTAAGTATCTCTACCTTATTTTGACCTTATCCTTTTTACCAACACGATAACCCACGACCATTTCTCTTCTTCTTTTAACCATTTTCTTAGCTTTTCTTATGGAGGCTAGGAAACCCCAGCTCTAAGGAAGATTGAGGTAAGAAAATCCCAATTCTTCCCTTGTTATACTTAGGGTTTCAGTTTTTACAAATTTTAGGTTGATCTTTTCTAGTATGACTTTAATTTGAGATTAGTGCATAAAGTTACTACTGTCCCAATCTGAGGTATTCAGAATCCCTTGTTTTCTGAGAAGGGATTCTATTCGAGTTGAATTAACTCCCTTAGGAATATGATTAGGCTCTAGCCTTTTGATATATTTTAAAAGGTTCCCTAGAGTTCTGTAAGATTTGGAATTGAATGAATATCACCTTTGTACACCAAGATATGAGGTTTATAAGTTCAGACAGTCCTAACCTAGTTTTAGCAGAACATAATAGGTATTGGTAGTTAAATTAGGAGTGTAGTTTAACCGCTAAATGATTTTGTTTTAAGCTGAAATTTTGAATGTATTTAGTTTTATATGTTTTTTATAAAATTTTATGATAATTTAAGATTGTTTGGTCCACTAAAATAGTGAAGTAAAATTTGTTCGCAGAATTGTGCGAGGACTTTATTGATATTAAGTTGTTCATTTGGTTATAGAGTGAATTGTTGAAAAATTGGTGATGGAATTTAGATGAATTTTAGGTTGAGTATAGTATATTTTATAAGAGATTGTATCAAACTTTTTTTTATGAATTATTATAAATCAATAATTCAAGATGAAGGATTCTTAATTAAGATATCTCATAATTCTATGCTCCCAATTTTATAGGTATATCGCTCCCTAGCACACTCGATCATTAAGGAATGTGATCTTTCATTGACATCTTTATTTTTTAGTTCAATAAGACAAGTATAAGTTTAATTCACTGCAAAATAATGGTTGTATAAATTATCATATGCATAATGTATTTTGAAAAGTATGTTTTAAAAAATATGATTATCATGAGCTAAGTGTGAATATAAATATTTTGTAAGCATAAAAAATATATGATTACGATAAAAATGTCTTGTATACATGCATATATGATGACATGTGGTATGAGAGTACTTGTGTTTTCTATGATGTATGGTGTGGGAGTGCACGTATATATTATGATGTATAATGCACGTATATACTATGATGTATGATGTGAGAGTATACGTATGTATTATGATGTGCAGTGTAGGAGTGCACACATATATTATGACGTGCGATGTGGGAGTGCACGTATATATTATGATGTGCGGTATAGGAGTACACATATATATCATGACATGCAGTATGAAAGTGCACATATATATTACAATGACGTATGGTGTGGGAGTACATGTATATGTTATGATATGGGGTGTAGAAGTTGATGAATTTTTTATGTTTCCTATATGTGCATATAAGCACTTGAATTATTTCAATGTCGAATCTTACCTCCTTATTGTGTATATACTATGTTGTAGGATTATACTTGCTAGAGAAGTCATAGGATGAGATATCTACCGTTAAACTTCATATGCCAATGATTTTGAAATGTTGTATACATGACATGATGCATGTTTACCTAAATAAAACTACAAAGTTTTATAGTTACTAAGTGATTAGTCACTATAGATCTTATTTTGCAAGTATATTAATACCCCACTCAATTGATTAGGTAGGGAAGTAAGCACGTGCAAGTCCATGCCAGTGCAGATATGGACAATGACCTGTGGGCATTTTGTATATAAATTTTGAACATATTATTTTTGTACTATTCTTTTAGTCAAAGGTTATAATTATGTACAAGTATCAAAAATACTGTATACAGGAAAATCCCTATAATAAGATTGTCTATATTTCGCTGCACCCCTATTGATAACAGCAAAGAAAATTGAAATATGACATCCTACGTTACTCATACATGTAGGGTATAAGTAAAACTAGAAGTAGAGTTTTACAATATATATATATATATATATATATATATAATCAAATGGAAAAACATTATGTTATATCACCTTCCTTTTTTTTGTTTTTCTATTTTTGCTTTCCTGATTTTTATATTGGTTAAACATTTAATCCATAAAGCTATTTATGTCCTGGTGAGTTTATATGTGTTATGGTTGCTTCCGATAGCCAAAAAGGCAATGTCACTCATTTTTCCTATGCAAATTAATAAACTAAACAATGAGCCGATGACACTTGTGGATGAAGGTAAATTATTTATCTTAACCTATTTGTCTTTGAGGCTTCAACAATTTAGAAAATTAACATGTCAAATAATGGTTGAATAAGCTAAGGTGGACAGCATCACCATCAGCCCTTCGTTCGTCCATAAACATCACAAAAAAAATTAATTAAGGAGTAATTTTTTCCTCATACAGGATTATTTTCAATCAAGAAATCAAATCCACAAAGTGCAGACTAATTTCTGTGGACCGAAAAAAAAAAAGAAAAAGGGAAAAACCAACTCTACCTTGCATTCGCCTTTCCCAGGACCTCATCAGGGCACCTCCGACGATACCTGCTGCCTCCATAGAAACCTGCAATCTATATTCCACAGTCATGCAACAAAATCTATCTATTCGCATCCGGATTATGCTAAAAGGGCAACAGAAAAATGCAATGATGCTATGACAAACAGAAACAATGACCGTAGTCTCATAATCATTATAGATCGAAACCTTCGAACAGAAACAGACCGAATCAACCCAGACGACGGCAACGAAGGGGTCAGAGCTTACGATAATTCTTGGACGGCGTAGACGACGGGATCCGTCTTGGGGATGACAACTGGAAGCCGCTCGAATAGCACGGCGACGGCAATCTTTTCCGAGACGCTGCTGCTGGCGTCTCCGCCGAAGCTTCCGTCAGCAAGGGAGGAGAACCGCCGGGGTCGGAGGAGGGAGCTTGCGGAGGAGCGGAGCATCTCTCCCCCGTCGCGTTCTTGGTTCGACTTAGCGGTCGGGGGTTCCGAAACCCCCTTTATTAGTACCGAGCCCAAATTAACCGACAGGACAAGAACAGACTCGGACTTAGTTATGGATATTGGACCAGCTCGTTTGACATTGGGTCTATTCATTCGCTTGCTGACTCTCTTAGTGGAAACCATTAGAAGAAATAATCTCTCTATCTTAAAACTTTTTACGCACCAAAGAGTACAAAAAGGTTCATTCCTTTTTGGCCCCTCGTCTTCTCCAATCTCGAGCCTCCTCCCCCGCTGAGATCTCCGTTAACGTACGCCGCTCCCCCACCTCGGCGTACGATAGACCAAACCCTAGTCTTTCCGTCGCCTTCTTCCGCCAACGTTGATGGCGTCTCCCGCCGGGAGTCCCAACACGTCGGGAAATTACGAGGCGCAGGCGGTCTTCAAGCCCCCCAACGCCGGCCCTAGCCCCGGCTCCAACCCCCGGCCGCCTTTCCATCTTCCTTCCGCCTACCCCGCGCCTCCGTCATCGTACCCCACACCGCCTCTCCCTGGGGCATTCTCCTACCCACCGGCCACCCCGCCGTTCCACCACCACCCCTTCCTCCACTATCCGCAGGAGCCCCTCCACCGTCCCCCCGCCATTTATTCCCCCACCGCCGCCTCTCCCCAGCTCACCAATCCTAATCCCACACCTAACCCTAGTCCTAGCCCCAACTCCAATCCCGGCGCTCGCCTCATGGCCCTCCTGAATCCTCCTGCCCACCTGGAATCCCCCGTTTCGATGCCGCTCCCTTCCTCCACACCATCGGACTTCCTGTCCCCTTCCGCAACCGCGACCACCATTCTCCATCCTGTTCCGTCGGCTCCGCCAGCGGCTCTGGTTCAGCCAACACCGGTGAGGATGCCAAGCAATAAGTTGCCAAGAGGGCGGCTTCTTGGTTCCGGAGAAAGGGTGGTCTACGATGTGGATTTGAGACTACCGGGAGAGTTGCAGCCGCCACAGCTCGAGGTAACGCCGATCACCAAATATATCTCGGACCCTGGGCTTGTTTTGGGCCGCCAGATCGCGGTCAACCGGAACTATATATGCTATGGCCTTAAGCTTGGTGCTATCCGGGTGCTCAATATCAACACAGCTCTGAGATCATTGCTCAAGGGGCATTCTCAGGTTCGATATTTAGAAATGGCAGTTAGATTTTTAAGCTTTTCTGTGTTTCATTGACGAATTTCTTTGACCAAGTGTATGTTCTGTCCTGTTTATTTCTCTATTAAGACAATATGACGGTTGTAGGATTTATGTTTATGTGACTGGAGTGACTTCTTTGGATATTTTGTTCTTTTTCGATGTAGCTTTCACATTGTTGCCTATAGGGCGAATTGTTATTTAGTATTTGTTTAGCCCAGGACTCTCAGCTGTAAATAACTTTGGGATGTTATGTAGCATCAGATGCTGATGATGTTACTCTTAACTACTGGTTGCTTCTTAACAAGCTGATTGAGCTGGGTTTTTGGAGGTACAAAAAGTTGCTGATACCTAAGGAGCTTAATTTGTTAACCATTGCAGATTTCTAACATAAACTAGTTTTGGCTGCCAAGTGGCAAGTCGTTTGTGCATTGGATCCAAAGTAAATCTTACATTTTGTTTTTCGATCTTAAATAATTTTTACTACCCCCCAGTTAATAAAAGTATGGTGTATAGGCTTTGACCTTCATCTTCGTGGAAGATGGTTACCAAGATGGATGTTGCTGTTGGTTTTATTGTGCTTGATGTTAGTTTATTGATGCTATCTTAGTTACTTGAGGAAAGTACATACTTTTTCTGATTCAATTAACAAATGGAAAAACCACAACTGGATCCCTCAAAGTTCTTCAGATGTTAAGCATGTTATATAAACAAGCAGTTCATTTTGTCAACTTTTGTTCATGACATCAGTAGGTTTGCTCTTCATATGATAATGTTATAGATCACTCTGGAGTTGTACTCTGGTTTGATATAATTAAACTTTGTTTGTTTTTGGGGTTTATTGAACTGTAGGTGCTAGTATGCCTCATTGTTACTTATGGAACTTAACAAATGCTGTTCTGGTTTTCAATTATTTGTTTGTTGTAGTTAGATATCTGCAGATTCTATTTTGTTAGTGGGAAATTGGAAGAAAGATTATGTTACAATTAACAGAAATGAAAACATTTAAATGATTAAGTGCGTTGTAGGTTTTGTTTTGTTGGAGATTCGTTTGTTTGGAGTTTTGTTTTTAAGAAAAATGTTAATTGGTAAATTCATGTAGATTGCATGTACCTGATTTTGCCAATAATGATTTTGCCATTCATGACTATAATAATCATACTTTGCTTATGTTCTAATTCTTGTATATTATTCTTGTTTTTTTGCATAATATTTTGAGTTTTGACATGTGCCCATTAATGTAACAACACAATATGGTTTGCAAATATGAATCTTTTTTAATCTACTGATGTTTAAGTACAGATTATTTGTTATCATTTATTAGTCATAGTCAATTTTGACACTTCTCTATTAGGGAGAAACTACTATAGGTTCTCTCTTTATACTTAGTTGTAATTTTACAATAAGCCAAGATGTTCCTTTCTTCCTGAGTTCCTGTGACACTTTTGAAGCACAATCTGAAGCCCTCTGTCACAGTCTTTTCTTTTATATATTTGTTGACATTTTTGTATTAATTAAAGTTGCATTTCTCCAGAGGGTCACTGACATGGCTTTCTTTGCTGAGGATGTGCACTTCTTAGCCAGGTACTTTTGCTACTATTTGATTTTATTGTGCGCCTTTTGTTGTTCTTCCTGTTGCTTTGACAACCTACTCATTTGTTCATTGCAGTGCAAGTATTGATGGGAGAATATTCGTGTGGAAGATCAATGAAGCGCCTGATGAGGAAAACAAGCCGCAGATAACAGGAAAAATCATAATGGCTATTCAGATTGTAGGACAGGGAGAATCACGTCATCCACGAATATGTTGGCATTCCCACAAACAAGTAAAGTTACCTTTTATTGATGCATGAACTCCTTTGGCCTAACTGTATTTACAAAGTACATTTCTGGTACCTTTTGATTTATTGATATAAGGATCCATGTTTTGGTACTTCTCATAGTCCTATTATGTTACTTGTTGGTGTTTTCTATGAAGCTCATAGTTCAATTTTCCATTTTACTTTTTGCAGGAAATATTGTTTGTTGGAGTTGGAAATTGGGTCTTGAAAATTGACATAAATAAAGTTGGAAGAGGAAAAGAATTTTTAGCAGAGGAACCTCTCAAATGCCATGTTGAGAAGTTGATTGATGGAGTGCAAATTACTGGTAAACATGATGGAGAAGTGACAGATCTGTCCATATCCCAGTGGATGATCACTCGTTTAGTATCAGCATCAAAAGATGGAACAGTTTGTACTCATGCCTATTTAACTGCTTGATTATTAAAAATTATTCCATTTTTTATGTGGTGAACATGTATTCATTAAGTAAATATTTCATATGGTTGTCTAACCTGCAATGGCTTGTTTTGACACCAAAAAGCAATGCATTATTCTAACTTGTGAGGTATGCATATGCATGTTATAAGAAAAATCAGGAATCTTGTGGTGTCTTTCTTGCAGGAGAGAATCGGCCAGCTAGTGTTGGCAAGGGCCTCTTTCTCATGTCTGTATTCGATGTGCCAACTCTTTCAAATTCTTTTTTATCATTGACAGCATATGTTTAGTAAACACATCAGTGTTCTTGCAGCAGTGGTTGCTCTTGCTCTACTAAGATGCTGATGTCCAGCTGTTTTTAGTTCTTTGATATTGATAATCCAGTGTACATGTTATGAAACATTTTCCTCGGGAAATCATTTGATATTTTCTCCATTTTAATGCTATATACTTGGTGAATTGAATAGAATTTCACTGCCTGTATAGAGCAAAGTATTTCTATGAAACCCGAGTATCCTCAAACTTCACCCAGATGGATGCTGTCTTTTTCTGACAGGAAGATGTAAAAAGGAAAACATATTGCCTTCCATTCTGATGTATAAAAAACACAAGAAATTCTACTCTTATTTATTAACATTTTCCTTTAATTGCGTTGTTGTCAAATGCTATTATTTTATGATGACAGACACATATTACTGGACTTAAAGCCAACTTAAAACGTTTGTTTCGAGGTGTTTATTTGTTTATGAAGCATTAATATTTATGTTTATATATCATTTAATACTTATGGTGTTCTAGAATCTTGTTTTTATTTATGGTATATTTGTTTGATGATTTGGTTATCTGATTCTGCTACAGGTTATGATCTGGGATGATCGTAAAGTAGTGCCCCTTGCCATGTTCAAGCCACATGATGGTCATCCTGTTAACTCAGTGGCATTCATGACATCACCTCATTGCCCTGATCACATCAATCTCATTACATCAGTATGCATGCTTTAACCTTCTTTTAAGTTGCATTTTGCCACAGATTTTCTTTTGCATGAATATTTTTATTTCTCAGATGTTATCCTTTATGCCAAATTCATATGATGTGCTTCTGAATGTATTGATGATGATCCTAATTTTAGTTTATTGGCTTTTAATGCATTTCAATGTCATGAGTAATGTCTTATTCTTTATTCCACCCTCCTTTCATTAACAACATCCTTTCTTCTTTGATGCCTTCCTTTATTATGACATTTTGAACTGTATAATCTTATGTTGAAGGGGCCTTTGAGCCGAGAAGTGAAAGTTTGGGCTTCTGCTGGTGAAGAAGGTTGGCTATTGCCGACCGATTCTGAATCATGGCGGTGCACTCAGACCTTGGACTTGAGAAGTTCCTTAGAATCTCGTACTGAAGAGGCATTTTTCAATCAAATAGTAGTTTTGCCTCAACCAAGCCTTATTGTTATTGCCAATGCAAAGAAGAATGCTATTTATGCAGTGCATGTCGACTATGGTCCATATCCTTCTTCTACACGCATGGATTATATAGCAGACTTTACCGTTGCAATGCCTATTTTGAGTCTTACTGGAACACATGATTGCCTTCCTGATGGAGAACAGGTGGTCCAAGTCTACTGTGTCCAGACACAGGCTATACAGCAGTATGCTCTGGATTTAATTCAATGTCTACCACCACCAACTGCTAGTGCTGGGTTGGAAAGGGATCATTTATCTCATGTTGTTGAGACACGTGGTATGGAAGGACTCGCTGTTCCAGAGCCATCCTGTGGACTTTCTGTCAATGATTTTTCTACAGAAAATTCTTCACCAAAAACCCATCTTACCAATAGCAGCATTGACAGGGCATCTGCAGCTTCACAAGCTGTAACAAAAGTTTCTACTGTAGGCACCAGTACCCTTGAGTTGTCTGAATCAAGTTTTGAAGTTCAGCCCAGTGCTCCTCCAGCTCCGAGTGTAGATGTTGATGCATTGCATGTTACACCAGTTCCTCCAGCTCTGAGTGTGGATTTTGCAGGAACTTTACCTGACCTGAAGAGCCCTGAAAAATCTGAGGACACACCATCAATTGGTGGTTGTGAAATGGATCAGTCAATTTCAGAGTATTCAGTTGACAGGAGAGTGGATTCTTTCATTGAAAGTGCACTTGATGTTCCTATGACAGAAGGAAGCACACTGAAGGATGAATCTAAAGCTGGACAGAATGATCTCTCCATGTTATCTAATCCTCGTTTGATGTTTAAGCTTGGTGGCAACTCAACTCACCTGGTAACCCCTGCAGAAATTTTGTCAGGTGCTATATCTTCTTCAGAAAGCAGCCATGCCAATAAAAGATCCATCAAGGAAGTGAAGGCTCAAGATATGACCACTTGTGATGACATAGAATGTGCTGAACTGGAAGTAAAAGTAGTGGGTGAGGATAAACCAGGTCTGCAGGAATTTGATTCGCAGAAAGTGCCTGAAGATTTTGCTGCTGAGGATAAGGAAATCTCCCCCCAGACTTCAATAGCCGACTTTAGGATGGAAAATGAGTGCTCTACTGTAAAAGGAACTCTGGAAGAAACTCGCCCAGGTGAGGACAATGCAATTTCCCAGTCAAAGAAACATCTACCAAGCACTTTTGAGGCAAAAATTCAAGATGGCGTGAAAAATACAACAGAAGAGGTGACAGGATCTGCTGTAATGGCAGCATCTCAATCTCCTTTAGCTGCCAGTGGGAAGAAACAAATAGAAAAGACTTCCCAAAGATTCAGCCCTTCATCACCTTCATCAAGCCCTTTTAATTCTACCGAATCTTTTAACGAACCAGGGAGCAGTACAGGTGCTCCTCCAGCTGATGCTGCTTTTTCTGAAATTCCTGCTCTGCAGGAAACTGTGAACCAGGTGAAAGTTTTATTTCATTTTTTAAGATGTTTCTTCTCATTTAAATGTGTCTGATACTGTTTGTTTGGAGATTTTTCTCGATAGGGATTGATGTGCTGGTCTGCGTTTGTATTTCCTGTTCTCGCATTAATTGGCTGATATTTATGTGTTATATCAAAATTGTTTAGATGAGTCCAGAAACGAAGCAGATTGGCAATGGCCAATTTGAGCATATTTGCTTCTTCGGCTTGACGGATCAAGGTCAAGGAATGGCCGCACTGTACAAAATTGGCTTACTTCAGATTGGTCAATTCCTAGTAGTATCTTTATCTGATTCTGGCTGTTGAGGATGTGCTTGAGTATGTGGTCTTCATGGCCTCAACAATGCCTCCACTGAACTGTGCCCGGCCAAATACTCACCAACTGATTGACTGGAACTGTATGCTGTCGAGAAGTAGATTGGACGAGTATACTATATTTGATTTATATTTTAAATTTTTTAATTACTGTTCAGTCAAAATGCATGTCCAGCAATTTGGGCTTGCTGATCCAACCCGGTCCTCTCCATTTTCCATTCTGAAATTCCGAAGCATTGAATCAGTCCCTGAAATTGACCTGATTGTTTGAATATTTTATTATCCTTGCCGATATGTATTATCAGCTGAGCACTGAGTGTATAGTAGCCAGTGCCACCATGATACTTGGGGCATCAATCTTGAGATCTTCCCCTCCCTCCCTCTACATTGAGAACTTAGGTTTAGGTTCTTGTGTGCTAAAACTGTCATTTGTATGTAGAGCACAACCAGTAAATTATTCTTTGCTTCCATTTTAAGGGTTATTGACGGTTCCATATTAGTTTTTAACATCTGCTATCTCATAAGCTATTGGTCTATGCACTCCATTTGTTGGATAATGTGTTTTGTGTTTGTGACACACAAGTCGATCGCCATTTAGCAGTTTACTGTTTTAATTCATTGAGGAGTGCTTCCATAGAACACATGTTTAAGAATTTAATACCTTGTTTATAATGCTATAAGAAGTTGCAATCTTCATACTTCAGTAAAAATATGCGTAAGGGTTTTATTTGTTGGAATTTGTTGTTTTTCTTAGTTTAATGTTACTGAAAAATATGTAGGGGTTATATGTGATACTGCCAATAGAGTTCATATTTTTACTGGAAGGTTGTGATAATGAAGAATTAAGTAGAGAGGCATGAATTCCTGAAGAGGACATAGTACATGGATATACTTGTTAACAGTACTTCAATATATCTTCTTCTCTATTAAGTTTGGTTGATTGTTGAAGGTGACTGAGAGTTGGTATCATAATATAATTTAGCGGCATGGTGCCATGCACTTGACTATGTAGTTCTAAGCGGCCAATTCTAGAAGCAACTCTTTTTGTAGACTTGTAGCCTATGTATCCATCTTCTAGGTCTAGGCTTACTCTAAAAAACTGAACTGATACCCTATGCATATTCCTACTGTCAAACTTATTAATACTATTAAAGTTTCTCTTCCAACTGATATCTAACAATCAGATTTTTGCTTGCTAAAACCTAAGAAAGAATGCCATTTTCTATTATTGGACAAAGTTAGAGAGACTGTTTTTGCTGTTTGCATTTTTCACTTCCACACCTTTTGCATTTATCTTGTAGTCGTCAACTTAATTGATGGGTTCTTTGCAGATTATAAGTATGCAAAAGGAAATGCAAAAGCAGATGAGTCTAATGGTGTCTGCATCAGTAGCAAAGGAAGGCAAGAGGGTGGAGACCACATTAAGTCGGAGCATGGAGAAGATCATCAAGGCCAATTTAGAGGCTGTGTGGGCCCGTATCCAAGAAGAAAATGCCAAATATGAGAAGTTTGAGAAGGACCGTGTCCAGCAGATGACAAATCTAATAACCAACCATGTGAACAAGGACTTGCCAACCATTTTAGAGAAGGCAGCGAAGAAAGAACTTTCTGTAATAGGGTCAACTGTTGTGCGTGCAATTACACCTATTATTTCTTCAGCTATTGCCGAGTCATTTCAGGTTTTTGTTTGACTTTGTGGTTATCATTTTGGCTAAAATCTGTTGCCTTTATCTAACATGTCATGTTCTCATCTCAGAAGGGTGTTGGTGATAAGTCAGTGAACCAGTTGGAGAAGTCCATCAGTTCTAAACTTGAAGCTACAGTTGCAAGACAAATCCAAACGCAGTTCCAAACTTCTGGGAAGCAAGTTCTTGAGGTATGAAAGATTGCCAATAAAGCTTTTCCTATGGTTGACCTCTTAATGCTGCATCAAATTAGTAATCTTTCTGATGAAAAACATCGTTCATTCTTTTCATATAGATAGGCTCTTATCTAACCTACCGGCAAGCTGTAGGTACTCTCAGTGTTGCTGTTTAAGAAATATGTGGTCCTCATATGTTGATGTTAAGACAACACAAATAATAGGTTACTGATAGGATACATGTTGTTTGTTATTTAATTTGGTACTGATCTTTTTTGTTCTTTCTGAATACTTGGTGCCAACCTTATCTGTCTGCAGAATCCTGTTTGTTCTTACGACTTGTGTCTCTTTCCTGAATGCAGGATGCCTTGAGGTCTTGTTTGGAATCATCAGTGGTTCCGGCATTTGAGCACTCTTGTAAAACAATGTCTGAGCAAGTGGGAAATGTATTCAAGAAGGGAATGAGTGAACACACTGCTGCTGCTCTGCAGCAGCTTGAGGTGGCAAATAGTTCATTAGCACTTACTTTGAGGGTAAGTGCTTTACAATCTTTGGCTTCATTGTTATGATCTGATGCATCCTTTGCTATGGTGTGATATTCATTATCTGCAATGTAAATCATTTTCTTTGCAGTAAATTGTTTATTCCTATATGCAGGACGCAATCAATTCTGCTTCATCAATTACCCAAAATCTCACCACTGAATTAATTGATGGTCAGCGCAAGCTTTTGGGGCTTTTTGCTGCAGGAAACACAAAGGCATTAGATCCTCTTGCTGTGCAGCAAGCAAATGGCCCTTCGGTTGGCCTTCCTGAGATGGTAAAACATCAATTCCAGGTTCCATTTAGTAATTCTTACATTGAGACTTATATTTGTGTTGTAAATCATCCTCCTCTGTAGTTTTACTTAGATAGCTGTGTTTCTTGGAAGTCTGCTTGACTCAAAGATACTTGAAATTGACCCACATCAGGCCTTATCTATCCAGCAGGTGGGGGCACCACTAGATCCAACAAAGGAGCTGTCGAGATTGATATCCGAGCGGAAGTACGAGGAGGCATTCACAATGGCACTTCAACGAAGTGATGTGTCGATCGTATCTTGGCTATGCACACAGGTACTGGCCTTATACAAAACTCAATTATGGAGATGGTTCAATTTGGACCTTGTTTTTTTTTTTTCTTTCTGCCTCAGCATTTCTTATCGGTCGAAATTTCTCATTTCTCTAATGTTGTCATTTTCTGTCTCAACTATCCCCGCTTCTTATCCTCTTTTCTTTGCTCATGCTCGCGTTAACTTGTAGGTTGATTTGCGGGTGATTTGTTCCACGGGGCAGCCGCTCCCTTTGAGTCAAGGAGTCCTTTTAGCACTTGTGCAGCAACTAGCATGTGATATCGGTCATGAGACATCGAGAAAAGTCGGTTGGATGACGGACGTTGCCGTTGCAATCAACCCGGCTGACCCGATGATCGCGCTGCATGTGAGGCCAATATTTGAGCAAGTCTACAACATGTTGGGCCACCAAATGGCATTTCCAACAACCAGTGCCTCTGAAGCAGCCAGCGTCCGCCTGTTGATGCATGTTATAAATTCTGTACTCACGACCTGTAAGTGATCCCTTTCTTTGACCCACCATCATCTGTTCATCTGTTAGGGTCATGTACAGAAGATAAAAGAAGAGAGAGATGCTTGACGATATTGGCCCATGGAAGGGCCATGTACTGTGTAGATTATAAATGGTCCAGCCATTCATTGTGTTTCTTCTGCTTCATTTTTGGGTTCCTAGAAGATGTGTGGCTTCGAGTCGGTTCTTTTGGTGGTTCTGTTATGATGACGAAATCAGCCGTCATCAGTACACCGTTTATCCTAGTTTTTATTGAAGAGCAAGAAGGTGTCGACTCCTCGATGCAACAGCGGTTACCAACACTGGTCCGTCTCCCACCTCCCTGAGAGGCCGCACGCCCCCTGGCGCCACCTCCCGATCGATAAGTCGTACCGCGCCCTCGCCGCCGGGTCCGACAGCGCCTCGTACGCGCGGCGGATCTCCACGAAGTCGTCCCCTCCCCGGCCCGCAGTCACGTCCGGGTGGAATCGCTTCGCCATGGACCGGTACGCCGCCTTGATCTCCCCCGCCGTCGCCGTCTCTCGGACCCTCAGCACCTCGTACAGGCTCCTCGCCCTCCTCTCCGCCGTCTCCGGCGTCCCTTCCGCCGCCGCCAAAGCCACTACCGACCTAGGCCGGACGGAGATGCAGACAGGAGGGGGGAGTACAGCGAAGTTTAGGCCTCCAGACATTGCCATATTTGCGGCTCTTCTTCCTTGGCGACGAGGCGATGGGGGTAGAGTCAATAGGAACAAATGGGCGTCGCTCCTCTCTCTCTCTCTCTCTCTCTTGGGGTCAAATTATAAGAGTGAGTTTACCGGTGGAAGAAAAAGGCATAAAGCGATTCAAATAATCGTGCACAGGAATTACTAGTAATTATATCAGATTGATGTAAGATGTGCCATTTGGAGTCGGCAGGCCTCCTCCTCGACGGAATTATTCCATTCTATATTTCGTGACGTGACTCCATAATAAAGAAATGGAGTAGATTTTTCCTGATGCGAATTAAGTTCACCATCTGAAGGCGGTGCGAAGGATTAGACAAATCCATATGAGCCGGTCAAATGACGACGATCGAGTCGGAGTCAGGTCAATTTGGTAACGACTTCAGGTCTGGTCAGGGTCAGGTTAATTTGGCCTCGCTGCCCGTGCGTCGCTCTCCTCGGGGTTTAGGGGAGGGTTTCGCAACCCTCGACCAAATAAGTCGAGCCAAGAACGAGACGGCGGCGATGCAGCGTTCCGCCGCTCCGCTCCTCAGCCGCTTTCTCCTCCGATCCCGGCGGTTCTCCTCGTCGACTGACGGCAGTATCGGTGCCAGCGTCAGCGGCAGCGTCTCGCTAAAGAATGCCGCCGCTGCCGTGCTCTTCGATCATCTTCCAGATGCTATTCCCGATACCGATCCCGTCGTCTACCGTTTCCAAGAATTCTCGGAATCCCTGAACCCCTCGTTGCCTTCGGCTGATTCGACTCTGTCCGTCACTGTCAGAAATATTTGATCTCTTGTGAGAATGCCCTTTTTAGCGTAGATGAAACGTGTTGGATGATTGGGGAATATATTTGCAGGTCTCGATGGAGGCATCAGTATTGTCGGAGGCACCGTGATGAAATCTCGGGAAAGGCGGATTCAAGGTAGATTCTTTTTTTTTGTGTTGCAGAATTTAGTCAACACTTCGTCCTTTTGATTTCTTGGCCGACAAGTTATGGTAATTGCCAATCTCCTCATACTTCTCTTGTTATGGATGAACAAACAAAGAGCTGACACTGATTGTTCTTGGCTTATGAAACTGTTATTCGACATGTTAATATCTTTAATTGTCGCACATTAAATACTTAAGAGACTCTAGCAAACTTGTTGTACCGGTTTCCCCGGAGAAAAATGAGGGGGTAGAATACACCTGGAGTATTATCTGATACTTGTCTTTTTGACTAGTATTATCTTTTGATTTTTATCTGTTTTTTGTGCTGATTGTTGATCATGATCCATTTTTTACATCTGGCATCACATAGCCTTGTGTGATGTACGGCTATGTTTTCTTTTTTTTTTTTCTTTTTTCATGCTTAATTGTCTAAAGAAAAATCTGTCTGTGTGTAAATTTGCAATAAAGAGACCCCAATGGGTTTTGTTGAATAATGTTGATCTTCAACATGTGAGCTCGTAGAAAGCTTATATTACCCCTGCTTAAAGAATGTTTCTCTTCTAGAAAAGAGGTGGATAAGTACCTTTATATCGTGATTTCAAAGTAGTCTGTCTTATATGGAAATACAGTTTCTAATAATCCTTTTTTTTTTCTCTCTGTTGTCTGTTTTTGTATCTTTGGCAGGAATTACCTGTTTGGAGATATATATTTGAAAACATGGTCGAATAATGAATTTCGATTAATGTCCATGAGAAAATTGAACTCCACTTCCATCTCCCAGTTCATTTCAACTTGTGCGTGTCGGTTTATGTCAACAACAAAAGGAAGGAGTATGCGGAGCAAGGTGGAGAAGAGAATGCGGAGAGAAACAGGGAAAACTCTAAGGGAGATCAGACGTGCAAAAAAAATTAGAAAGAAATTAATGACAGAAGAGGAGCGGATAATATACAACTTACGTAGAGTAAGCATTATGGAAACTTCTTTTTTTTTTTTTTGCTTTCCTTCTCCACTAACTAGTGGTCTTTATTTTGGTTTATTTTTTTCTAAAATATTATTGTGTTGTATATGGCTATGTCAATCTCCTACTTGGTAAGTATTGATTATACTTTTGATGGGTTTTATTCTAAATTGGAATGTACTTTTATTGTACTAAGCGATTTAAAAACATGTTGTTTACATTTGAATGCTCCACTTATTTTGTTGAGAGACCCATGTAGATATTATAACTGCCTCTTCTGTGGGTGGTGCTTTCGTTTACATGATCAGTGTATTATGCTTAACGTTATGTTTGTGGCCAGTTGACTGACAATATCTGTAAGTTTTTGTCTAGGCCAAGAAAAAGGTGGCTTTGCTTCTACAGAAACTCAAGAAATATGAATTGCCAGAGCTACCAACTCCTCGCCATGATCCTGAGGTTCTTACACCAGAACAGCTTCAGGCTTATAAGAAGATTGGCTTTAGAAATAGGAACTATGTACCTGTTGGAGTTCGTGGAGTATTTGGAGGTGTGGTTCAAAACATGCATCTCCACTGGAAGTTCCATGAGACTGTACAAGTTTGCTGTGACAACTTTCCCAAGGAAAAAATTAAAGAAATGGCAACCATGCTTGCAAGATTAAGTGGTGGCATCGTGGTTAATATACACAATGTCAAAACTATTATCATGTTTCGTGGAAGGAATTACCGACAACCAAAGAATCTGATACCAGTCAACACCCTGACCAAAAGGAAGGTTCGTTTTATTTCCAACACATTAGTTATATATACTGCAATTGCTCCTATTTTGATAATACATCATTTTTCTCCTTTTTAGAGATCACTGGTCGATGGAAATGTGTGGCTTTGAAGCGGTTATATTTTAATTCAAAAATTGATATGGATTATCTGATATGTTGTAGTAACCAATTTAGAACTCATCTCTCATGCTTGAAGTGGAAAGGGCATAATGCAGATAACATGCAAGAACAGATTTAACAAAAAACCACTGTCTTGGTTGTGTTTTCATCTGTAGATACTTCCGATTTTTTTTTGCCACCCACCATTCTCTTTATTGCATGATGTTCCACTGCCTCTCGTAACTCTCTTTGCTTATATTAGTTTGTATTTATCAGAATCCTTCCTAAGTATTGCAGTTGTGTTGGTCGCTGGATGTAGTTGATCCATCTTTTATGCTTATGGACTACTACTCAATTGTATCTCTGCTTTTGTTCCTCTGCATGTATTTTGATTACTCACTAGATCAGTCACGATAACAAAGTCTCTTATTGAGTGTCTTAAAGGCTTAACATCGATTAGGATAAAGTGTGGATTGGCAATGCAGCTTGATTTTCTTCAAGTGATTTAATATGTACAATTTACAATGAACTTTACTGTAGTATCTACCTTTGACATCAATATTTGCCTATTCTTGTCCTGGTTATTTTATGTCAGGCCTTATTCAAAGCGAGATTTGAGCAAGCTCTCGAATCTCAAAAGTTGAACATAAAGAAAATTGAGCAGCAGCTTCGCCGAAAGGGTGTCAATCCGGAGGATCCAATCTCTATGGCTAGCATTCAGAGAGTTGCTGCTACCTTTTTCAGGGCTATCGATGAGAAACAAGGAACTCCATATGTATTTCGTGGGAACAGGCCATCCCCATCTGAGATTGATGATCCTCAAGATGAGCCTGCCGATGTACCTTCTGAAGACAGTGACCAGGAGGAGCTTGACCGCTTTATTCAAGAAATAGAGGATGCAGCAGACAAGGAGTGGGCAGAGGAGGAAGCAGCAGAGAAAGAGGAATCATCCAGAATAAGGTACTGGAGTCAAGATGGCATGGGTATGCCAAGCAGGGCATCGGACTGGAGTAGCAGAAGTTCAGAAGAGAATAGGGGCCACGGAAGAGGTTCAAGTGGTGCTTCTGGTGGACTAAGGACTACAGAGACACGAAAGTGGAATAGTGATCCTGAGATATCTGGGGATTCAGAAGGCGACGAGTGGGAATATGATGATGAAGTGGATGATGCTGTAGCTGATATTCAAAGTGATGAGAACAGTGAAGATGAGACTCTTGAAAGACTACCAAACCGAAGACAGAGGAACAACAGAGTTGGGCAGGAGGAAGCTTTCAGAACAAGAGGCAATGAACGAAACAAATGGATAGAAAATGAAGATACCAGGCCACCAAATGATATGCATGAAGATTCGGAGGATGGGATTTGGGAATCAGAAGATGAGGATACACATGATTTGTTGGAAACAAAAGGCACTGCTTACGATTATCTCAGCAGCAGCAACGAAGACTCCGACAGTAATAGTGGAAATGGCAGGAGGATGGGCGAACTTAAGAAGAAAGAGATTGATGAAAGTTGGGACAGTGATTAATGAATATTGTTTGAACTGAACAGAATTAGACAAAAAGGAAAACAGAAACCCAAAACATGGCAGATAGACTAGAAGCTGAGCTCGGTCCTGATTTTTTTATCGGATAAATTGGGGAGGTCTTTACCAGGATTTTGAGGTAACGCAAATCCTAATTGAACTTAATGCCTCTTAGTCAGTTACATTATAATCATTAGCGGATGGGGTTGGAACTTTCCCTGGCATGTGGATCCACGGAACTCGCAATATTTGTTATTCCTGCTTTTGATGAGGTTATGTATGGAGTGAACTGAAATGTATTGCGATTTAAAGACTGGATCAACACTTGATTTAGTTTGGATCATTTTAAACTCAAGCTGTAGTATAAAAAAAATGGTATCTTATCCTGTATTATTTCCTTTTTTTTTTCAATGGATGATGGATAAAATCCGGCTAGGGAGCAGGATGACATTTTTTTTTCCTTTATATTATCAGGAGTTGGTTGTCTTGTGATGCATATTGTGAAAAACGAAAGGAAACATTAAGCTATATATGTCATGGTCGGAAAACATGTTCATGATGATATCCAATAAGTCTCCCATTTGTTCATGATATCCAATAAGGATCCCATTTGATATTGACAATGACTTGTGATGCATATTGGCATTCAAATGAGTCCCTTTTGAATTATTATTTTTCGGAGCCTGGCCCATGTGTTTTTCGATTGGCTTATGGTGTGCGATGCAAGTGATATCTGTTATTCTGATGCCACTGTGACAGAAACTAATTATGGTAGGCCATCTTATTATCTTATTCGGTTGGTTCATTTTATATATCTATTATGTGGACCTTTTTATGCATTTTGAAATTAGAATTGAGGTTTGCAAAACTTTGAAATCTTAATCAAGATTGCGATTGATTACGATAAACAAATATAATTTTTAAATTCAATATATATATATTGTTACTGTTATAAAAAATTAAGAATATTTTAGATATATGTATATGTATATGTATATGTATATGTTAATGGAGAGACATGTTAAGCATTGATATATGTATGCTGTATCAAAAACTTGTAATGGTAAATATGGTTTAGAAGAATAGAAATATAGATAAGCTTGCTTACGTGTACATTTAAATTTGAAGGGATAAATACCAAAAATATATATATATACTGATTTGGAGGAGGTTATGTATGCAATGTTTTCAGAGTGGCCTCTCAGATTTGGTCGCTCCAAAGTTGTATTGTCTTCCTTCAACTTCGGCATATATTCGTCCACGAGCAGTCTTACGTTTGATCGTGGCCAGCTTTGTATCCCCGCCTTGTTCGGCGGAGGAACGCCCTTTTCTTCCTCTCTGCCACGCTCTCTCTCTCTCTCTCTCTCTCTCTCTCTCTCTCCACTTTGCTTCCCTTCTCCCGTTGGTCGCCGTGGAGGAGGAGGAGGGAAGGGATGGACTCGAGTCGAGACGTTTGGTTGCTCGCTGCCGTTCTCATGTATTTGGCGGGATTAGCGGCCGGTTCTACCTTCATCTCAGGTGGGGGCCCCAATCAAGTTGGGAAAATGTTTAGTTCGATTTGAGTTCTCCCCCTTTTCCTCCTGAGCTTATGGTTCTCGACATGGATTTGGATAGATACCGTGTTCGAGTTGCATGGATCTGCCGGGCGGAGTTTGCTGCAAGCGAAAACGAGTAGGATTTCTTCCGCTATTCATTTGGATTGTGAAAAATGATTTGGATTTCCTAAAGCAAGCTTATTCATTTTCACGACAATGCATTAACATCCAACACCACCACTGAACAATATTTATCATCGACCAACGTGTTTGACTGCAAGTGATTGCGAAATGTCATGTTTTTGCTTTTGACTCGAAACTCTGTTAGGTTGTCCTATCGACTTGGAGGGAATGAACTCCACAATCATCACCGGCAAGTGCAAGGGTCCTCAGTACCCTGCCAACCTCTGCTGTGCAGCTTTCAAGGAATTGGCATGCCCTTTCGCTGATCAGTTGAATGACGAGACCAATGACTGTGCTTCCACCATGTTCAGCTACATCAACCTCTATGGAAAGTACCCACCTGGGCTCTTTGCCAGCGAATGCCGTGAAGGCAAGGAAGGGTTGGCTTGTCCTGCGACTCCCCCGGAGTCGGAGGATGGCAATGCAAGTGCAGATTTCACGAGTCAAACCCTCGCCTCCCTCCTCACACTCCTTATCTGTGCAATGGTTCTGGTGTTTCTGCTGCATACTTGAGAAACCGGGAAGAAGTTATGTTTCTTGACGTTGCAGCGTTGCACTCGTTGTTGTTTCGGTGCTATCAGCTCCTTTTTTTAGACAGCGTTGCACTGGTTGGTTTTTTAAAGTACAAATTACTCGATGGAAATTACTATATTTTTTTTTATTAAATGTGTAGGATATCAAAACCTAAAAATATATTGAAAAGTCAAAAATGATATTTTATATTTTTAATTCTTCGAATATCTGAAATCATATCCAATTTGAAACCAAAATAAAATAGTTGGATTCAGAAAAGTTCCTATTCCAAACCACAACCACTTACTTTTTTTTATTTTTAATTTACCTAAAATATCCCTTTAATTCATCATTTATTAAAATTCATCTTTTATTAATTTTATTGATTTAAGAAATTATGTTTGTTTTATTGGATTATTGATCTATTAGTTTTGTTGAGATTGAATCGTCAATTTTAAATGAAATTTTTATTCACCTTTTTAATATGAAATTAAATCGGAACATCCTCGTTCACTTAAGGATAGTAAGGCTTAGCTCAACTGTGACTCCAAGTGCCGTGATATACTTGGTCCCTTCTCATGCTTATATTAGATCGGTTTCTGATACCAACTCATTAATTTTGTCACCAACACAAGATGCCTAAAGTCAAATTAATAATAATATTCTCATCAAATCAATCAAATATTTCTTCAATCCAAAGTAAAAAACTAAACTGGAGTATTACAAATTCAATGCACCTTCATCATGAAAACACAAAAAGTGTCGATATATATCTGAAAACACAATAGCTTTATGACAACTTTTAACTATCATTAGTGCCAATTTTTTTTCATTTCAGTCATGTTTCTGCAAAGTGTCGGCAAGACACAACTTGTTGCTTCGATATAGGCCGAATGCTATTGTTTTAGCCTCTGGTCCAAGCTAGCCAACATGTCTTTCCATGATCAAATCGGAGGCAGGCAGCTATAGGGTGAAGTCAGGACATGATCAATTTGGGCCTTGTAATCCACCTCACTACAACAATTCATGAACTTTGACATGGTTGATCTTTTTTACATCCTTCTTCTGAGTAGATTCGATTTGGCCCTTCTCTTGGTTATTCTTGCGAACAACAACGAGTAAAATGCAGATGATCTCCTTGTTTGGAATAAAACTTTCAATCTTTTTCTGTAATGAAATACATCAAATCGAGTCATTTTCTTGTATGAAATTCATAGCTACACTAATTAAAAATAGACACAATCCCAGTTTTGATTTAATCGTGATAGCAAGCAAATCTGCATTAAGAAAGATGGTTGTTTGTATAACGAATGGAAAGAAACATGGTGATGCTATATCTGCTTTGTAATGCAAAGTTTTCACAGGCCATGAACTGGCAGAGTGGATGTGAGGAAAGTCTGCATTGCAGACACAGGATAGGATAATGATATGAGTTCCAATGTATGTATGCGCAGACCTTGCATCTACAAACAGCAGAGAACCAATCAAGTTATTAGCTTTTGTTTTTGTTGTGGTGCTTGCATCGGCATACAAGTGCACGCAGTGTCCCTCTCGGGACGAAGTCAGTCACTGGTCACATGGATGCTTGAGGTGAGGTAGATAGATACGTCGGATGCTGCCATATGGTACCAAAGGCTGCTCGCTCGAAGAGGAACTACAAAAAGCAGCGTTCGATGATTTAAATGCCCCTTGCAGACCTTTTGAACTCTTCTGCAGAATATCCTGGTCCTGAAACAGTTCACCACTTTCTTGTCCCCTTGAAAATATTTCTTCGGCAATTGAACTTGACATCACAGGTTATGATGCTGTTTACCAGGACCAGAACCGGAATGGTCGAGTCTTTTGTCATGTTCCATTGCGAGCGTTGTGTCATTTCGGCTGTTTTGAGTTTTCCAAGACCTTTTAGTTGTGATGGACATGGCTCCAATCGCTCAAGGTCCTTCAGCAATTAGTGTCAGACGTAGAAACCCAGTGCGGGAAGAAGATTCCGAAACATCTGGTACTTTTGGCGTTTGGTTCAAGTGTGGGCAGTACTAACAAAGATATCAATTAGAGGACAGCTTCTCCCTGATAGTTATGTCGTGAGAGAAAGAACAGGAGGTCATCATGCTCACCACTGAGAGCTCCTTCCTTCTGTCAGCCAAACTTGATCACATCTTACAGGAATACAAGACATAATAAATTGATTCAATCCTTCAACTTAGTTAAGGAATATAGGGACTAAACAACGATGTGGTTTTGAGTCCATAAGATTTGGTTGGTAGCAAAGCTGGGTCTGTGCAAAATGGTTTATACTAGTGATACCTCACAAACAACATAAGCGGCCTGTTGGACTATGATATGGTACTGGAAACTTTTATTAGGGAAACAGTTGGATAAATAACTCTTTCCTCTACAGATAAACTCATAGCTGTCAAGGCTTTAAGCCCCTGCTTTGGCCAGCGGCCTGTTCTAAACTGGAAAGATGCATGTAACAGAGCATATATTTGGGCTGATCACATGTGAAAGCATGATTAGACCTTTCATGGCTCGAAAGGGGCTTGCTTGTTGGCCGTTAATAAAGATGAAAGGTGTTTCGTTATAAAGTTGATGGGGAGCATAATTTGCTGGATTTGGTGGGACATGGTCTTAGTTGACTCGAAGAAGAAGGAGGAGCAGTCATCCCATCTTGTCTAACACCAGGTAAATCTGAGCTTCTTACTTCTCTGCAAGTATGTGCAGTCTAGTCTGTACACAACTTTCTAGGCTTCATATATCCAAAGAATAATTTGAGAGAAAGATGGTGGAAATTTAGAGTGGCTAAGTAGGTAGCTGTGTGTCACTCAATTCCAGGTTCCAAACATGTGATCAAAACTTCAATTTGTGTATCACTAGTGCAACTAATTGCCAATAAGATTGGTCTATGGTATACTAAAGGTAGAATCTGCTACTAACTTGTTTCATTGGCTCCTGATTTGCTGAAAACAAGTGGGGATGGCTTAGCTTAGAGAGAAGACCATATCCTACTGGAACATGAAGAGGGGATGTGAAAGAAACTTGGGATGAATTCATAGAGATTTAAATTGGGTATCTTGGGATCCTCCATCTGAGAAACTAAAATTGAGATTTTTTTTTTCTTCTGAAAAAAGAGTGACCATTGTCACAAGAAACAATAATATTACTCGTCACATAGTCCAGACAGGATGGCATCATCTCAATAATATTCAAATTCATTAGCTCCTCCTCCTCATCCATAGAAACTGAATGATCAGTTGATCATTACATTGAGCAGGAGATATTCATTCATGTTGGAGGATAAAATTTGTGGATAAAAAGAAGATAAAAAGATTATTGTCCTACTGAAATGATTTTATTGTCAATATTCAAATTTCATCAATGAAGAATAGAAAAGATTATTGCACAGCAAACAGCTACAAGGTGTAACTCACCAGTGAAATGATTTTATGCTCCTTTTTCTGTAATTGTCCCAAAAACAACTTCTCCAAAGCATGTCTTTTGATTCGAATATATCCTTGCAGTCCCATTTAATATATAGATCTTTTTAGCCGCCGACAACTTTTATAGTTATTATTTTAGTTGAGCCAGGGGTCTGAGACCTAATGCTTTCATGGCCTGAGCAGAAGTGGGCTGGGTTATATATCATCAACTCTCTTTCTTCTATAGGTACTAATACTATTTATTCGAATTAAAATGTCAGGGAATCCACCAGCAATTGCTTACTTGGCTTCATCATGGCATTGAAGAGCCAAATGGCCTTTGCATCACTCGTTCAACGCGTGAGTCAGCATCCAAAATAGTTGGCCTTGGCCTGCCTTCAGACTGCCATGTCTGCAAAATGGTCAGAGTTACACACAGAGAGAGAGAGAGAGAGAGAGAGAGAGAGAGAGAGAGAGAGAGTCTCGTGTGTAGTAGTTAGTAA